GACTCAACATCACCTCTTTAACCACCAAGTCAGAGCATTTGATACCAATGCTCTCCGTGCTGTATAAGGGTATAACTGTACAAGACTGAAAGTTAGAGGCTTATCCCCATACCTAGTGTCTTCCAAAAAGGGCTTCAAGCTAAACTAAGATGCTTAATAAGGAGAAAGATGCACAATGAGAGAGCATAGAAGTCATGCTGTATTAACTATTAGACAATGTTAAACGACCAAGAACTAGGAAGCAAGTAATGACATGGAGAACCTAAAAATGGCCCAAAGGTCCTGTGCAACAAGAAAATCAAATGAATTTCTTCTCAACCATGTATGAGAAAATAAAAATAGGAAAAGAATACTTTCAATGTATTGAGTTTAAGGGTAAAAGGAAAGGCATCTAAAACGACAAACCTGCTTTATTGGGTGCAAGCCCAAGCCTTATTGGGTGAGTGGGAGCCAAGTCGGCGAGGGCAATGTCCTACATCAAAAGAAATTAGAGAAGAATTTAAGAACTAGGAAAATAGACAGACAAACAAATGTAAAAGGTGCTCCCCGATTCCCTTTCTTCTATGCTTTGCTTGATCATCGTTAAGCAGTCAAATGATCATTTTTCTTATTTCTTCTTTCTCTTGTCGTGGGGAAAAATGACATATGTTTTCTTATTTCGATCTCATGGTTACCTTGTACAAAGAGAGAAAGTCGATTAGTTTAACTTAGTAGATCGAAATACCTCAACACAAACAGAGAGAGATGGACGGGGGTTTACCTCGTATAGAGAGAGAGAGGGACGAAGGTTTACAGAGAGAGAGAGAGGAGTGAGCGTTTACCTTGTACAGAGAGCGAGGGTTCAGTGAAAGTCGAGAGATTCGAACTCGAACGAAAAAAAAAAAGAATTGGTAGGGTACGAAAATTTTTCGTGCCACAAATTTTTGCCGAAGCTCAAATTTCAATCTGGGAAGAATGAATTCTGTGACAAGAAATGAATATCCACACACTTATATCACACATTCTTTGCTAGAATCGACAAGAATTAAAAGAATGAGACAAGCAACGAACCAAACATGGCCTAAGTTAAGTTTATAAATAGAGTCGTTGAAATTGGAGTTAAAGAAAGAATAATTTGAAGAAATAAAGTTTAGTTTAGTGGATTCTAATTGTTGCTAGCAATTTCTTTTTCCCTTGATTCTTGTATTTCTTCTTTTAATTGATCTATCTTTGTGTTGTTTGTCCTATCAGCAAAAATTCTCTCTCTCTCTCTTTCTAATTTCATTCTCTTTCTTTGATGACAAGCATTCTACTTGCTTTACCACACATATTCTTCATCCATAATCACCCACAACCCTTATTAAAACTCGTGAAACCTACCATTAGATCCTACGTTGGATAAATAAGGGTGTGGGGGGAAGGAATCAAATAATTTTGGCTTTATTGTAAGCACGTTTTATCCATTAAGGGAGAGTCAAGAGAGTTATCTCTCAATTCGTTGCTCTTTGTATGGGGGTGTGCCTTGGCGCAATGTTTGCGATGATCCATTGTGACCTAGGTGATCAGGGATCAAATCTTGGAAACAACCACTTTGTATATATAGGATAAGGCTTTGAACATCTCTCCCTCCCTAGACTCTGCATTAGCGGTGTGCCTCGGCATCGTATGTTATATTGCCTTTTTACTCTACTACTCTTCAAGGGCTTTTATAATTTTAGTATGTTTTAAACCCAAGCATAAAAGAGATACAATTTGCTACCACTTTCTTCTTCAAAACTTCTCTCATATTCAAATTCTGAACACAAACATTATATATCAATCACCAACACTCAAAAGGGCAAATAAAAATATAAAAACAATCACTACAATAACTAAACACAACTAACTGAACCAAAAACCAACCATTAATAAATCTTCAACTACATAATAAAATGAAACCAAACCAAGATGACATAATTGTTTATAATGTTTGATGGTTGTTGTTACCTTTCGTGTTTCCTTTTTTTTCTTTTGAAGTGTGGATATTGTATGGTGATTGATATCTTATCACCTTCTTGGATGTACTCTTGTTTTTCTTCTTAAAAATTCCATTTTATTTATTACAGAAAAAATGACATAATTGTAACGAATACAACGTATCTTTCTATCTCATTTTTTATGTTCCATCACATGAGATGTGCTTTCTTGGTATTTATTCTATGTCTTGATAGTTTTTATCCCCATTATCTCTTTATTTATTTACTTATTTTTAACAATTTTCATGTCTTTCATCTAATATTCCTTTCAGATTCTTACTTTATTTACATTTCTATTTGATTATAAGTACTTATACTAAGCAAGTGTATATACTACATACAAATGAAATTGATCGACTTTGGAGAAATTTTGATGATCTTATTTGATTATATTTTTGAAATTTACATTTTAATTTACTTGTAATTAATCACTTTCTCTTTATATAGTGCTGACTTTTCTCTTGTAGTTAATGTTCCTTTACTTAGTTGTTGAACTGAATGGTTAGATTCCTCTCTTGTTAATTAGCTTAGTGTGTAGAAGTTTTAATATATTGTTTTAAGCCCAAAATTATTAAATACTCCTTAGGATTTTTGGCAAGGTAGAGACTGATTTAACCTGGGTGCCTAAAACCACCCTACACCGTATCTTGATCCCTGAACCCTAAGAATCTCATCCCTATTGGGCAGCAGGTCTCCAAGAAAACTATTATTTTCTTGTAAAATCACGGGTTTTCCTAAATTCCCATTTCCCAAAAATTTAGGTGGTAACTTCATCCTCCCTCTAGGTTGGGTAGCTAGAATTGTAATGGGGTCCTTTTGATGCCTTCACCTCGGTGTCAATATCCTTTACATAGGTCATAGAGATATTTCCAACCCTTGGGTATTGGGGTATTGGATCTATAGTATACTAGTATCACTGCAATTGAAATACTACTTCTTCATAGGTGCTATAAGAGTAGAAAATTGCTCTACTAAATCTATGCACTTGACATTGCACTTTGCCCATATGAAGTAAATTCTTCATTGGTGGTATTTTAACACAATACCATATTTTACCATTTTAGTACCTATAAACACAAAAACACATGTTCTATCAAACCTGTAAACAAGTTATTTTGGGAATATTCATTGGTTTCACCATCCACTTGCTTAATAAACCTAGGAACAAAAGTATACACTAGATTCAAACCTAATATTGCATCTAATACCAACATGACAAGAAAAAAGGTATATGCAGTGGATAAATCCAATGCATATATAACCTGCAAATAATTCAACCATTAAATGCAAGTTGTTTGGAAATATTCAATGGTTTCACAAACACTTGCTTAATAAATTATGAGCAAGAACATATATTTACAGGAATCTATATCCAATATCACATATAACACCATCATGACAAAAATAATAAAAACAAACATATTGTACAGTGGATTAATCCAATGTATATAAAAAGCGTGTATATGTTTATACCATATTCTAAGCCAAATCTCTAATGCATCCTAAAAAAGACAGGTATAAAATGATGCAATGAATATCCAATCAGTCCATGTGCATCACTATCTAACGGGAGTTCTAAGATAGTATTCAAAAGTGAGTTTCATATTCAACCATGCTTTCTTCAATTTTGGCTTGAGGGCATAAAATGATATTGCCCTATTCTTAGATTGAAAGAAAAAAATCCATCACTTTTATGAGGAAATCCGGGTAGTCATCCCCAAGGCTATATACATGCCCAAATATTTTCTCCTTCTTCAGGTGAGAAATGTCCTTCTCAATTGCATTTTCTAATGATTTAATGCTATAGGTAATTGTTCGCACTTCATCTGAAATAATGTTGGTATATGATTTCTTTCTTTTTCCCAACGAGCTGAGTTCTTCTCTTCAATAAATCTACCTTCTTTTGGTGGCCTATCCTCTCTAGAGTAGAGTCACTAGCATTGTCTCCCTCATCTAAATCCTCATAGCTAGACTAGCTCCTGCATTGATTGTGTTATTCGGAGTCATTGATGCTATTAATGCTTCTTGTCTAAGTTTTTTTCTAGCCATGAAAGCTCAAGCTCCGGTTTCTTTGTCATTGCCACAGATTATTCCATGCAAGTTGATCATAATTATGGATTGCTTTCCTTCTAAACTGCTTTGCTTCAGAGTGCGTTGACCATTTTTACTTTTAAATTGGCTTCACACACACATACACACTTGAACTTGGGTTATAGGCTTCAAGTAGCTTCTAATGAAATGGTGATACAGCCATGTGATGTAGGGAGCCCAACTAAAGTGTCATGCATCTTTGTTCCAGGTGTGTGTTTTATTCTCAATTTTTTTTTACATGCTTTTCATGAAACACCTTAGAGAGAGCCCCCTGGTTCCATTGCATGGTTAAGTGATCAATGAACATGGCAACCTAACAACCACTACTTAGTTCATTGGAAATTGGAAAGTGCGACATTGGTAGAGGAAATCCATGGTATATAGAAATTAAAATTGAAAAGTGCATTAGTAGAGGAAATCTGTTGTATATGGAAATTGGAAAGTAAGTTGGTAGAAGAAATCCATGGTCTATAGGGATCTCTAAAGGCATCCATTGTATGCTAAACAAAATAGCCGACAGAAAGGTATTTGGCTTTTAAGACCTGTACCCATAATGAATATGGCTATTTGTAAAATATCCAACAAAGTTTCATAATCAAAGCAATATCTCAGCTCTCCACACCCACCAACTTGAGGCCACCCTTATCTTTTAACGTGAAGAAACCACTCCAATCTTTAACCTAGCTTCCTTTTCCTCCTCTTTCAGTCTTTCCCCACCAGAAATCTCAATACGTGAAGTTTATTTCTCCACAAATTGTTTCAGGGGGCCGGTTTTGTTTGTAGATGATACATAGGTGCCTATAGTGTGGATTTGATTAAAAAATGTATGTCCAGCACAAAGTTTTAAAAACCAATTCAGAATTCGAAACGCTTTAGCCATCGGTTTTTGGGTTAGTGGTTCAATTGTGTGAGTTGAACGGTTGGACCTGTAATAATAAATTTTTGAGAAATAAACCCAATAATGCCTGCATTAGATTCATATTCTAATTTATAATTTTTGTTCCTATTGTTCCATTAAAATTGATGTTTAAAAGCCTATGCTGATAGATTAATTGTATAAGGAGATAGGGAACTAGGGGGAGAGGTCAAAGGTGAGATGTGAGAGGTGATAGTGAGAAAGAGCATCATAATGTCAGAATAGAAATAGAATAGTGTACATTATGACATTTAATGTAAATGAATAAAGTACATATTTGATTCATGTTATTATGGTGTGTTTCTATATAATACCCTTAAACTGGACACTTATGAGACTCGTGTTAGTTTAGAATCTTCACAGCCGTTGGATAGATCTGGGGAGATTTATCCTGCCAAGGCTGACACTGATGTGCCGCCAAGTTGGTTGGGGTGGCTTGTCTCAGTTGCTAGGGTGAGACTTGAGGTACATGCAGTGTGAATTTTCTTGAAACCCTGAACCATACCAGAATTCTAGTATTGCCCTGGACCTTGGAGATAGATGGGCAAAACTGGAATATTACACCTAACTCCTAGACTCGATTATGATATTACACTAGATGTCAGATTGGGCTGTCTTTAATATGCCAATCAGTGAGATCCTTAGAGGGGGTCAAAACCTGGGTATGTTGGGACARTCCGAGAATTCATCTGAGTGGGTGATCATAGTGACAGGATCGGCCCCTTTGTCAGACAAAGTGAATGATCGATGATGCACTCTCTCTGATGGAAACTTAAACTGTCGGCAGTTGATTTCAACCGTTGAAATTTGTTTTGCAAACTATATTTATATAGAGATATACATATATATATTATGGTTTCAAAATATTTGCAAAAGATTTTAATTCCCAGGATCCATGTGTGTAGAGAGTGCAGTACTGTACCTTGCAGCCGAGGGAGAAGTCCTCTCTTGTCGGGCAGTGCTTGATCATTATGGGCTGAGAGGTTAAGTGTAAGGTCATTGAGGGTAATACTTGATGGGCTAATCTTGCATCTGCCCACAGTCCTTGAGTTTTTATAAGGTGGCTTGACCCAATGACCATTTAGTGTAAATGTTGGGTCCATTAAGAGCCCATGGTGATGGACTCAGGGGTTTACTGTCTCCTACAGTGAATTCGACTAGGCCTTGTAACAGAGGCTAGGCTGAACCCATGTGGCTGATGTGTAGATCAATGTTTGGGTCCCACACCATACAA